GCTGGGATGGAGATGACGATTGACCATGGGGCAGTATAGAAAGAGAGTAGTTGGAAAGCTCTGATGCAGTGGAAGGCTGTTAAGTCAGGGGGTCTACGAACAAGGTGGAGAAAACTACTAAATCTCAGAGAAGGAGAAGAAAAATCTGCAGTGAAGCAGCCCAAGAGGAAGGAACATATAAAGGAGAGAAAAACAGGTTTGTTCAAAGGCACTCAGAAACTAGGTGTGACCTGACATCAAAATTACCACTAAACTACAGAACGACCATCATTGAGAATCACCTGATGCCTAGCTGAACAGAAGTCCTTTAAGTAAGGATATAAACAAGTCACATTGAGACTGGTAGGAGGGGTGGAGACACAGAATTGCTGGGTTCTCACCCACGTGAGGTGGTTAAAAATCAGGAGGATTATCTTGGCTATGGAAGTCCCCTCTAAGGAGCAAGGGGTCCCAGCCCCACACCAGGATACCCAGCCCAATGTCCCAGTGCTGGGGAGAGAACTCCCCATAACCACTGGCTGTGAAAACCAGCAGAGATTGTGGCTAAATGATACAGGGAGGTGCTGGAATCCCATGCATTTCTCTTAAAGGGCCCATGCACAGACTTACTTGCTGACGACTCACTCTCTGTGTTCCAGAGCTGGGGCAGCAGCTCAAAAGGTGACAGGAGCATATGGGGAAGAACTGAGTTATCTGGCTTCAGGGTGAGAGCTGGAGGGGTAGCTTCCTCCCAAACAGAAGTATTGGCAGAAGTCATTGTTCCTTTGTAAATCTGCTCCTCACCCAGCGTGCAGATGCAGGCAGGCACCTTATCTAAGCCTTTATCAAACCAACTAATATAAAACCATTTTCCCCACCCTGGTAATTCCCTGAGACTCTGCCCCACACAACTTGCGGACCCACCCAAGCTGTTCTCAGTGGCTTTTCCATATGGTCTGTCTTGGATCATGCTGAGAACACTCTTAAATCTCTTAAAGGTTCAAAAACCCAAAACAAGCAGCACCTGGACTCGGCATTCCCCATACTTCTTGCCCAGCACTAGCAGCAGCTGGACTCAGTTCACATCTGAGCCTCTCCCTGGCGCCTACAAACCCAGCACAAGTGGTAACCTTCTGCAGATCACTTTGTAGCTCATAACAAGTGGCCCAGGGCAGGGCACAAACAGCAACTGATCTTGGACTGCAACAGAGCCCCTCCCAGAGACCCTAGAATCAACACACCCAGTGGCCAGCCTCCGGCCACATCAGAACACCACCCAAACACCTCCACAAATGACACATCCGAAGAGCTGACTTGGCAGACACGAGAGCCCTGATAAAGTGAATCCTGCTCCATAGGGTCAGCCTCTGCAGAACAGCTTCTCTGCTATAGTCATGGCCAGTGCTTGCAGCCAATCAACCTGAGGATTAACCCATATCATTTACATGTCAATAGCAATCAAGGCTCAACTACAACAGGAGGGCACACAGACACAAACACAGACAAAGGACACACTTGGAGGACCCAGCTCAGGTGACCAGGGAGACTGCACCACTGGGCCCCACAGGACACCTACTACAGAAGGCCTCTTAACAAAGACTGGGAGACATAGTAGCTCTACCTAACAAATAGAAACAAACACAGAGAGGCAGCCAAAATAGGGAGGCAAAGAAACAGGTCTCAAATGAAAGAACAGAACTCCAGAAAAAGATCTAAATGAAATGGAGACAAGCAATCTCCCAGATGCAGAGTTCCAAACACTGGTTATAAGGATGCTCAATGATCTCAGTGAGAGCTTCAACAGAGAGACAGGAAACACAGAAATGGAGCTAGAAAACATAAAAAACAACCAGTCAGAAATAAAGAATACAATAACTGAAATGAAGAATACATTCGAGGAAATCAACAGTAGATTAAATAAAGCAGAAGACTGAATCAGAGGTTTGGAAAATAAGGTAGCAGAAAACACCCTATCAGACCAGCAAAAAGAAAAAAGAATCCAAAAAAATAGGGAGGGGATAGTTTAAGGAGCCTCTGGGACAACATCAAGCATACCAACATTCATATCATAGAGGTACCAGAAGGAGAAGAGAGAGCAAGGAATTGAAAACCTATTTGAAATAATAATGATGGAAAATTTTTCTAACCTGGCAAAGAAAATTCCCATACGAGTGCAGGAAGCACAGCAAGTCCCAAACAGGATGAACTCAAAGAGGCCCACAGCAAGACACATCCTAATTAAAATGCCAAAGGTTAAAGACAAAGAGAGAATCCTAAAAGCAGCAAGAGAAAAGCAGTTAGTTACCTACAAGGGAGCGCCAATAAGACTGTCAGCTGATTTCTCAGCAGAAACTTTGCAGGCCAGAAGGGATTGGCATGAAATATCAAAGTGATGAAAAGCAAGGATCTACAACCAAGATTACTCTACTCAGCAAAACTGTCATTTGGAATCGAAGATAAAGATCTTCCCAGACAAAAAAAAAAGTTAAGCAGTTCATCACCACCAAACCAGTATTACAAGGAATGTTAAAGGGACGACGATGAAGAAGGGGGTGGGGGAAGAGAAGAAGAAGAAAAGGATAAAAAATATGAATAATAAAATGGTAATAACTACACACCTATCAACAACTACTTTAAATGTAAGTGGATTAAATGCTCCAATCAAAAGACATTGGGTGACCAAAAGGATAAGAAAACAAGACCCTTACATGTCCTGTTTACAAGACTCACTTAAGATGGAATGGCATACAGAGACTGACAGTAAGGGGATGGGAAAATGATATTCATGAAAATGAAAACAAACAAACAAAAAAGCTAAGATAGCAAGACTTATACCAGACAAAATAGGCTTAAAACAAAGGCGATAACAGGAGACAAAGAAGGACCTAGTAACCCCACCTCTGGGTATTTATTTTAAGAAACACAAAACACTAATTTGAAAAGACATACCTATGCATTCTTATGTTCAGTGCAGCATTCTTTACAATAGCCAAGCTATGGAAACCCTAGGTGCCCATCGATAGATGAATGGATAAAGAAGAGGTGGTACATATATACAATAAAATATTACTCAGCCATTAAAGAAATGAAATCTTGCCATTTGCAACATCATAGATGGTTCTAGAGGATATTATGCTAAGTGAAATAAGTCAGACCGAGAAAGACAAATACCATATGATCTCACTTATATGTGGAATCTAAAGAACAGTATAAATGAGCAAACAAAACAGAAATAGACTCATAGATACAGAGAAAAAACTGACAGTTGCTAGATGGAAGGGAGAGGTTGGGGGGTAGGGGAGAAGGGGAAGGGAATAGAAAGTACAAATTGGTAGTTACAAAATAGTCACAGTGATGTGAAATGCAGTATGGGGAATATAATCAATAATGTTGTAAAGACTATATAGGGTGTCATATGGGTACTGGATTTATTGGGGGGAATCACTTAAGAGATTATATAAATGCCTAACCACTGCACTGTACACCTGAAACTATATAAAATAATATTAAATTTCAACTATATATATAATTTATATAGCCACGGGATGTAAAGTACAGCATAGAGAATATAGTCAATGATATTGTATTATAATAGTTATATACGATGTTAAAGGGGGTAATAAATGGGGGGGGTTATCACTTTGTGAGGGGTGTAAATGTCTAATCAGTATGTTCATTTGTACACCTGAAACTAATTTTTTTTAAAAAGAAAACTGTTCATGTCTGAAAACCAGGCCACAAAATTTCTCTGGCAACAGTGGTCCGCAAGGGAGTGCTGAGGATATGTTTTCTTTGGTGATGTTGTTGCAGTTTTATGAAAAAAAGTCTACTTTGGCTTCTTCAGTTCATCCGCCACATGCTTCTAAAACACCATCCTTGTCTTGGGGGTCCTCTGCAGCTGCTGTCCTGCCGGGTCTCACCCTGCTCAAGCCACACTTCTGGAGTTAGGCTTGTCCTTGCAGTCCCCTCTTGGGGCAGGAGTCCTCAGCCTGGCTCCAAGTGGCAAATGCTGGCATTCCCAGGGCAATCTGTGAAAACTCCCATTCTTACCAAGCCTGATCTACGGGCCCAAGGTCTAACTTCTCTCCCATTTTCTGGCAAATTCACTGCCTTTTTGGAAAACACCCCATCCCTTTGACTCTACTGAGATCTGGGGGTCTCCTGTTAATCCATTTCTTCCTGGAGACCACATGCAAACAGGACTCCTGGTAGCCTAGTTTAATGTACCAGAGATCTTTGGGGCCCTGAAGAGTTGCTCTGTTCCCCAGGACCCCACTTGCCCACAGTGCTGGACGTGATGTCAAAATCCAGAAGCAGGTTCCTGGAAAAATAGAGGCAACCATCTTTCATTTTAAGTTACAGACACTGAAGATTATGATGCTGTTAGCATTATGGTCTTTCTCAGCCCTTCACCCTCCATTTTCTGCTTTGGGCAGAACCAAAACATGCCAAAGACAAAGGAGACAGTTATCTATTCTCTAGAAGGTTCTGGAAGCCACAGGGTAGAGCCCCATGGCCTTTAAAATTCCTTTGGACATTCCATCCCACTTGTCAGCACTTAGGTGAGCCCGTACAAACAAAGAACAAACTGACACTTGCTTTGAAAAAAATTCTTTATTTGCCTTGTCCTAAAAATCAAAAGGCTAAGACATGCACTACAAGCCTAAGAAGCCAGTTTATAAAAGGTCAGAAAAGAAATTCTCTCTAGGGGAAGCTCTGCTGCTACTGGGGTTGGGCTCACAGCTGCACGCAGGATTCTAGACGCTGACGCCTGCCTGCCTGACATTTTGTCCCAGCACTGAGCCTGTGGTTTTAGGAAAAGCTGCCCTGACTTTGTGCATCCCCATCTCAGCCCAAGTACTTAGGCCGGAGTAAAGAGAGTTCCGGTGCTGCTGGGTGCCAAGGTCAGGGCATGCGTTTCTTCCTTTTTCACTTGGGTTCCAGAGCCCGTGCAGCCAATGTCTGAGTGCTGCCATGTGCGTTCTCCTGGTGTCACATTGTAGAACTCAGATGCTGGCCACGGGGGGTATGGAAGCTCCTCCTCAGTGTGATGGGCACCACGGCCAGGGCCACGACCAGGAAGACCCCCACGAAGGTGGCAGTGCTGCGGTAGCTCACCTGGGAGCTGGCCTTCTCCTCCACGCCAGCCATCGGGAGGTATGGGAAGGAGAGGATGTCAAAGTCAGGATGACAGTAAGGGCTGTGGTCCCGGTGCAGGGTGATGGCATCAGAACTGGTTGTCTGGGAGAAAAAGGAATGGGAGAGAAGATGCCAAATGGGAAACTGAGGCCAGACCCCAAAACACAGCTAAGTGTGGGGCAGGGAGAATCACTGTGTCTTGTCAGCCAGTGGGAACAAAGAAAAGGTTTTTGATCAGGAAATCAGAGCGCGGCTTTGAGAGATCAAATCTGCTAGAGGCTTCTGATGGATTGGAGGGGAGAGAGTTGGGGCATTTGAGACCAACTGGGAAATGGGCACAAGAGTCCAGGAAGAGGTTCCCAGGCCCCAAGCTACTGCAACACCAGTGGGAAGACAAGGAAGAGGAGAGGGGTGAGCAGGGGTCCCCTTGGCCCCCCTCAACCACCACCCTGCCCTGCTGTCTTCTCTGTAGCTCCAGCCCCCATTGGAGTTACCAATGCACTAGACCTCTGAACAGTGTCCCCTCCCACTGGAATGTAAGCTCCTTAGGGTTGAGGATTTTGATCTGTTTCTGTTTTTGTTGTTTGTCTCCTGGCACATAGTAGGCCTATAATAGGTATGCATGGAATGCATAAGTGAGAAAGGAGCCCAGAATCAGCCGGATGTGGGGACAACTGAATACAGGACACATGGAGAGAGAGCTGTCAACAATGCTCCATGGGGTGGAGCCCTGTGACCAAGGGGAGGATTTGTGACAACTACTGCTACTCCACACCTGCCCCTGTCACCAGTGCCACCACACCTGTTGACCTGGCCCTGGCCTGGACCGGAAATCCTGGAAGTCACTCTGCAGACATTTTCTCATCTACACACATAACAAAACGGCACAGCCGGAAATATGGTCCCCAATCTAGATGAGGAAAATGAAGTGGCTTGTCCAGGGCCAGCCGCTGTGAGCAGTCAGAATAAGTCAATCCTGTCTGCACCTCCACGGCCCTGCCCACACCTGATTTCATGTCCACGGGGGCTATAGTGAGTGGTTATGACTGTCATGAGTCATAATGTTATCACTAATGTTGCTAATACTGGTGACAGTAACAATAGTAACAAATGCCACCCACCGTTCATCACACCCAGTGACTTATACCAGGCAGAGGTCGAGGCAGTTTAACTAGGACTATTTTATGTAACTCTCTCATCAGTCCTAAGGGGTAATAGTTTTGTTTTACAGATAAGGAATGTGAGGCTCTAGGAGTTCAGAACCCACAGGATAAAGGTGTCACGAGGGTCTGTGTCCCGGGTCAGAGCTCCCTTGACCACATCCTACATGTGGGTCTCTCACAGACCAGGAGACAGGGAAGGGGGTGGAAGCCAGGTCGAGTTGAACTCCATATCACCTGTCATACCATAGCTCATCGGGCATGCAGTAGGTGCCCAATGCAAGGTGGAGCATGACACCAACAGAAACAGCCTGAGCCCCTTTGGGTTATGGGCCTGGGCCCTGGCGGGCAGCGGGCTGGGAAGGCAACCACCTACCCAGGCTCCTCTTCTTCACGTGGGAGGCCTGCAGCTGGATGGGCCCCAGGACGACATCCACCTTCTCCTGGTAGGACCCCACGTCCCTCTTCGACCTCACAATGCAGCCTCTGTGGCAGCGGGAAGAGGGGTCGTAGGCCCTGCACACCACCATCTTACACTGTAGGTACACAGTGGGGAAGCGATTCAGGAAGTGGAAGGAGTTGAACTTGAAGCGGGCGATACGGGGTGATGGCTGGTAGTAGGACTGGTAGGTTTCGTCCTTCACACACCTGGAAGAAGAGAACAGTAAGCCGTCAGCTCTCACCAGTGCTCTGCAGTCTTCGTACTTGGGTGTGCTGGGCTGGAACTCCACAGCCCATCCGCAAGGCCCATGCCTCCTGCCTCATCTCACCTTCCTTTCTTGGGAACGTGTGGTTCAGACATTGACTGTCAGCCCTGCAGGAAAATCCTGGCAGCTCTGGCATAGCAGCAGCATCTTTAAGCAGCAAGCGAGCCCATGTTGACAAGCCGGGCCCATATTTCAGTGAGTGCTCAGTGACCACGTGCTCAATGGCCCCAGATTACCCAGGTGAGTCAGGGAGAAGCAGGGTCCAGAGGGAGGACAGGAAGGACGATGGCATTTCCTTCCCTTTCCTGCTCTCAAGGTTAGGCCACTTGGCTACTCTCTGGTGTCTTTTCTGCCTCCACGCGTCCTCTCCAGAATTGTGTCTCCTGCCCATCTCAACCTGCCCTGAACATCCTCCAGGTGTTTGAAGCTTAAAGGTATTCTAATGGGCATCCAGGTGGGTGATTTGGGCGATGGCCAGATATAGCCAATGATATACCTGTGCTCCAGGTATAGTTGGGACACATCTACCTCCATATGTACATCCCCTTCTCCCCAGGAAATTGCAATATCTTATATACACATATATGCCAGAACTTGATCAAAAAGAATCCCTTAACAGAAAAGAAACAAATCACTCATTTGCATTACCCTCATATCTGACATAAACTCAAATGTCACCTCGTTACTATTTGTAAAAAGAGGATCTGGATAAGCTTCTCCCCCATCTTTGCTGTCAAGGAGGTCTGCTGTGAATAGAACCAACTGCACAGGCTGTGAATGAGACAAACCTCAACACCTATTTACTGAATCAACACATATTCAAACTGTGCCTGAAAAGAGATACTGTTTTTAGTATTTCAGGGAGGTGTGAAATTTAACCTCCTAACCTTAATTCCTAACAGATGCCCTTACTTGTCAGTAAAACTTCTATGTGAGACATTGTTACTGAGGTGCCAAGGTCAAATTATAAGCCAAATATGATGTCCACACCAATGGACAGAGACGAAAGAGTAGGATTAGAGTTGCATGTCCCAGTGTCCTAGCACCCCTCTGTGAGCTCAGAAGAGGTGAACGTCACCTCACCAGAGTCCTGTCATCCAGGGAAGCAGGACTATGGTTGGACAGACCCACCTGGGCACTGTGACCTCAGCCTGGGCACCACTGGCCTCACCTCTGCATCTCTTGAGCTTGGTTGGAACCATGGACTCTGAGAAGTCAATTCCCAGCTGATGTAGGTCCAGGGAACTTTTGTTGCCTTCCGTGCAACATTCCTTGTGGACCACCTGTGTGCATACTCTTTGCCCAAGGCCCCATCTGCTCTTTTTCATTGGATCCTCCATAGGCTATGAAGAGGGTATCACTATGCTCATTTGATGGGTGAAGAAACTGGCTCAGAGAGGTGCAACTGCCTGCTCAGAGTGATACAGCTAGTAAGTGGCAGAGCTGACATCTCAGTCTCAACCTGCTTCAAAATTGATGCATTTGCCATGTCACCAAATCCTTTTAAAACTAAGGCTTGCCTGGAGTTTGGTCACATGGGATCTAATCCCAGTTTATAGCTAATCTGCTTAGTGACCACTGGTGAGTCACTCAATTCATCAGACACCCATCTCCCTATATGTTAACCAGAGATGATAGATAACCTGACTGGTTAAGCTTGAGCTGCTAGGACCAAAATCTGCATTCTTTGAGCCTATGTGCTCCTCGTGTTTGGGTTATCAGGCAAAGTTTCAAGTCCGCCCCATGAAGACACTCCTTACCCGCTCCGGATTAGATCATAAGTCAAAGAGGTAAAGTCATTGGAATTTGGTGACGCCACACAGGTGTCCACAAACAAGGCCAAGGAGGCTTCGGAATGGAGGATTTCAGCCTGAAGGTACAAGTTTTGGTTCAAGTTCACATAGTATGGGCTGCTGGTCACGGGATGTGAGAATGAAGATGATGTATAAAAGGAAATGTTCACATCAAAATGGCCATACTGTACTTCCTCGACCTCGATGTTATCATTAGCAATGTACATTGTGTTAACCCAGTTATCCTGGAGCATTTTGCAGCTGATGTGAATGTGGAGATCCCCTCTCCTCTTGATGTGGCCACTTGAAACAGCTGTTTTGAGGAAGTTGGAATAGATGATGGTATCATTATCCACCTGGGAGAGGCAAGCAGGAGAGCAGAGTCAGGCAAATGTCATCTGCTAAGGGAATCTCATTGCTGATTTTGCTTAGAACGGGAGGAAGTGGCTCAACAAGACTTCAAAACCCTCCATGAACCCAACAGAGATGGCATGTGCCTACTGCCATGGGTACCATTACTTGGGATGGACATGGCTGCTTAACTAGCAATACTTCCTCCTCTCACACAACCCTTTTCTCTACCATATGATGGGGGTCCGCAGTGTGGCCCAGGTGTTGGGGCCTCTTGGGAGCTCTCCTCATGGGAAGATGGGTGTTTGGATGATCCCTTGCTCTGCTCTATGACTAAGCTGAATTTGGACTCCATGGCTCAGGGCCTCTCTGGCTTGTTCTGTTTCATTCTCACTAATGCTGGGAAAAATCAGCGGAGGCAGCCATGTACTTGTGGGAGGGGCTGGTGGTGTTAGTTTTCAGTGTGCTGTTTGGATGGGTCAGTAGCTATTGCAGCTTGGTTCTGAAGCTCTGGGAGCTGGAAGCAACAGAGATCTGGAGTTATGGCTGCAGTGGGTCTCTGATCTCTGTTGTAGGGTCTTCCCCAGAGGCTCATATGGACAGTCGGGTGGGCATGGCCGAGTTGGAGCACTTCCCGTCACACTCCGCTTTTTCATTCCCTATACCATGGACCATTTCTGACTGTACCTTTCACCAAGCAGCAAATTCATAAGAATGTTAGTCTCTTATGCCATTTGATGTGCCTACCATCTAGTAAGAGTGACTTTTCTGGGGATGAGAACCTTGGTAGTCTGTGAGCATCTCAAGGAAAGGATGATGTCCAAGCATCTCTCTTTTCCCAGGGCTTGGTATGGGGTCAACGAAACCATCAGTAGCATCAATAATACCCATGGAATGGATGAAAGGGACAGGGCATAGAGGCCCCGCAAAACTACTGTGATGCATGAAGGACAGGGCAGGAGCAGTCAGCATATACAGCCAACAGGACACAGTAGGAACAAAGCCCCCTGGAAACTTCATGGTTGTGATCATCTACCCCACGTGAGGTGAGCACGAGTGGAGATGGCGGAGGGGACTCTTTCTGCCCCAAATGCTGTGATGGTCAGAAGCAAACTTCTCCTGGCCAGGTACAAGTTCCCACAAGTTGTGGGTGCTTTTGCAAGAAAAATACACAAAACTAACACCATAGTGGCCTAAATGAAGTCCTAAAATGTAAGGCAATGCTACACTTTATAAAAGGAGGAGGAGAAGGAAAGTTTGTCATTTAGTCACATTTAGTCATGTACAAGAGCAAAACTTCATTCCTGGCCGCGTGGGACATTAAACAAGTGCCCTTCTGAAGCCAGCACTTGAATATAATTATTCTTCAGAACGTAGCAAGTTGGAAAGGCTTTCATTTTATGTCTGCAGTTACAGAACTCAGTTCTGAGTTTGTCCCTTACAGAAGAATATGTAAAAAGAGAAGAGTTTAACAAGTAACTTAAAATAGTTTTGCCATCTCTAAGACCCTCCCTTTCCCCTCTCTCTGATCACCAGTTCCCCTGTTCTCCTGCTAGAGGGCAGCCAGAGGTTTCTGCAGTTCCAGACCTGGGACAGGGCCATCCAGGCCTGCAGGGGGCGCCAGAGCCCGCGCTTAGGACTCAGGTTTGGGTTCTATGCCCTCTGTGCTCTCATGGAGAGTAACTGTATTTTCTTTAAAAAAAAAAATGTTTTGGCTTTATATTTGAGTGTCGATGGCTGTCATAATAAGCCATATACAGGTGTCACCTTGTTACTCTTTCAAAGACAAGCTGAAGTGCCTTCAATTAAACTCTGTACATTAGCACGCAAGTTTTCTTAGAATCCACATTTGTCTCTGGTTTTTATGGTTAAACTAAATTCTGAGTCCATTCCAAACAATGAATGGGGAATTCAGGTTTATTTCTTGATCATCAGAAGCAGTTCTGATTTAAGATTAAAACTCGTCATTAGAGGTCTGCTCAGTCTGAAGGGAACGCTATGTAATGGGAAGTCTTGCGGGTAAATCAACTGCTATTCCCATAGAGGTGACCTCTTCACCTTGGCATCCTTCCCTCTCATATGGCGGGGAGACCTCAGCTATTCAGTCGCACCAGCCAACAATTGTCAGACCTCCCCTAAATGGGGACCTGGAATCCTGGCTCTGCAATTCATGATCATGTGGCCTTGGGCAAGTGACTTAACTTTGTAAGCCTCCATTTCCTTATGATTGAATGGGAATAAAAGTTGTCTGGAGAATTTTGAAAGCCATGTAGAACTCTTAGTTCAGTGCCTGGCATACAGATTAGCTGGTAATAATCGGATTAGAAAGGCTCCACGTCAGGACCACTGGGAGTTGCAAAGATGAATAAAACACATGAGTAAGCCAAGACACACAGCTTGGTAGGGGTACAGGTGGGTATTTAAATCAGTGGAGGATAAGAATGTATCAGGTGCCACCCACAACCACCCAGGGTTGACATGCTCCTTTGGCGACTCCTAATAGAGGTAAAGGAATGTTGATGGGGGCAGCTCAGATGTCAGAATCTCCAGGTGGCACATTTGGAATCAGGAGGGGTGACCACCTTTGGTGGACTGACTCCCACCGACTAAATTCATGACAAACCAGATTTCACACAATTAATTTACAGAGCAAGAGTCAAAAGCCAGGTTGACTAGAATATTTGCAAGATGTGACTAATATGAACATTCCTCTGCGTGTAAGTCTCTGTGACCCACTCAGTCCCTCTCAGAAGGAGAGCTGATTGCAGTCTCTGAGGCCCAGCGCCCACCCAGGGCTGACAGGCCAATCCAGTTGACTAAATGAATGTCTCCTTCTTGTCTCACTGTTTCTCATGTGTTAAAGAATAAGGAATGACCTTGCCAGGTAAGGACCAGATTGATCAGAGCACCTAGCACAGTTTGTCATATGGTGAATGACAAACTGAGGCCTCAGAACATATGTGTCACACATTGTACATATTTGAGCACTTCACGTTGTATATTTACTGCAGTTCTAAGCCAAATAAAAGTATGTGCATTATGTCTGGTCCCTGAGATAAAAATCTTAAAATGATTACTGAGGTGTCAGTAAAAAATTCAGAACTTAGAATGGATACCTTAAAAAAACATTACATAAAGCTAAATGCAACCATTCTAAGTGTACCATTCAGTGAGGTGTGACAGTAATCACCAACACAGTAAGATACAGAACACTTCCCCTAACCCAAACTGCTCCGTCCGGCCCCTTCACGGGCAATCCCCTCCAACCAGGTCGACTTTAAATCATGCCTTTATTCTCCATTTCTAAATTTTAAAGTACTGGAATCACAGAGTAGGTAGTCTTGTGTGCCTGGCTTCTTTCACGCAGCATAATGCTTTTGAGATTCTCAGTCTGGCATCAGCCCTACCACTTGTGGCTGAGTGGCCTTGGGCAAAAGGCTTGACCCCTCAATGCCCAGGTTCCCTATTTTTAAAGTGGGATGACAACGAGAGAATACTTGCTGGGGATTTGGGGAGTATGACACTGACTAATCCCCGTGTCTGCCACTCATAGGGTGAGCAATGTCCCAATTTGCTCAGGACTGAGGAGTTTCCTGGGACATGGGACTTTTCCATGCTAAAATGTGCCAAGTCCCAGGCAAACCAAGACAGCTGGGCACCCTGGTGACAGCTAAAAAAATGGTAGCTGCCAAGGTCAATGGACTGTGAAGTTATTGAAGTATAAGCTAAGGGTCCCCTGTGTGCATAGGTTCTGCCAAGGCCTGGCAACGTATTGGCACAGCCCTGAGTTTTTGGTAAGATGTCGAAAAATAAGATATGTCTGAATTCTTTCACTTAATGAGACACCTGCCCCTCTCACCCACCCTGACCCCAAACTGTTTAAGCTCCAGGTTCTATAAAACCTGGAGCTGCCCCCCGGGAGCAGCTACTATTATGGCTGACGTGAGTGGCAGCCTGCCAGGCACCATCCGTGCTGGCCAGTGCTGGAAAAACTGCCTGCTGACCTACCCTTCTCCTCCTTCCTTCTATTTGGAAGTGGCTGCACTTACATCATGACACCAATGAACAGATTTATGTCTTCACCCCATTACATTCTGGTTATGCCATAATCATGTCTCGTGGGTCCCCAGAATTCAAGAAGCACAGTGCACGGAAGTGTAGGAAAGCTTGCTCAGCAGGCGGTAGAGTGGGAAGCCCCAGGCTTACCTTTTGGGTGGTACCGCAGCCTGAGTAGGGAATTGTGAAGGTCACCTGGCTTGACGTTATCTGGGGCTTACACTGGTAGGTTTCGTTCCATGTGGGAATGGCAAGGTCCCAAGCAGAATAGCCCAGGGATTGGAGGTAACTCCTGCTCACGTTGGCTTGCATTTGATTCTGCAGACACAGCAGTTCTGGTGGCCAAGGGCAGATAATGCAGTCAGTCGGTGCCCCCAAACCCCAGCAAGTTCCTCTAGGAGCTCCTGCCATATACAGGTGCAGGAATGAAGATGGCTGGCAAAGATGGTCCACAGCAGGATATGCCTTACCACAGCCCTGAGGTGCCCTATGACCCAAGTCAGTCTCATCCTCATGAGAACCCTATGAGGACACAGGGACTTGGGGTCCTCCAGATGAAGAAATGGAGGTGGGATGTGAAATGAGTGAGATGTTTTGCCAAGTGACCATTTATCCATACAGGAAAGCAATGCTCCAGTTGAAGTGTGGAGATGTTGTGAAATAAGGTCCTTTAGCTCTGGTGCAGGTCAATGCTTAAAATCCTGACTGACAAAGAGAGCTTGGACATCACCTTGCCCAGTCCCTGGCCAATCTGTAAAGTATTCCATTTAACAGCTGGAATCGTGGCCATTAGCCTCTGCTAGGAGTGGCTAAGTGACCAGCTCAGTCCATCTTCGGATAAGCAGCCACAGGTCTCAGGACATGGTCATAGTGTCCCACACTCTGGGATGGTCACAAGGCCTCAAGCCAGGTGGTCACCTCTGCCCTTGGCACTGGCACCTCACTGTATGTTGAAAGCATCACTTTACACCTTCTACTTAGTCTCTGCTGGCTTCAGTAAGGCCAATATACTGCCCATCAGCCAGTTCTGGCCCTTGACCTCATTTCTGGGCCGCCAGAGTCCCAAGACCCACTGCCCTTGGTCCCTTTCAGCACCAGATCAAGGCTTGGTGACCTGGCAAAGCTGACCTAGTTCCTTGTTCCACAGCCACAGAACAGTTGAGCAGTAGAAGGCTCTGAGATGCCCCCACCCCTAACGAGCCCTCTTGAGGGGGACTTACTGGTGCTGTCATTGGAAGGACTAGAGTAGTATTCAGCCTGGAACCCTCTCCTTGTGATGCTGCCATCACTGACAAAACGAACGGACATGAAGTTGGATGACGAAGTGAAGGATCTATTTGCCACATCACAAACCCGGGCAAGGAGAGGGGAACTGTGGTAGGGACCGTCGAATACTTCTATGTAATCGTAGTTACAGCCTCCTTCTAGCCTGTGGAGACAGGACACAAAGTTTTGGCTTCACTTTTCACCAGGATTTGATGCACGTCAGGTTTCAGTGTGGGGATCACACCTCTGTGCTAGAAACTTGTACAATATTAGTAACTGAAAGTAGTAGATTTTCTTAAATCGAGCAGGGATTCTTCTTTTTTGACCTCCATCCATGGGTCTTAGCTCTCCCTTTTTGAGTCACACATATGACACCTATGACCCCTCTACTAATAGCTCTTTGCATCATGAAAGAAAGGGGTCACATCCTGTCCTTGACTTTTTATTCAGTCAAAAAGATCCCAGTTTTCCCTAGAATAAAATAAATATTCATGAATTCATAGTGATAGAAATAAATAAATAATAGAAAAGTCAAATAATCTCTCGGAAGCTCATGTTTCTTATTTACAAACGTGAAACAGCACTATCCGTGCACACTGAAGAGAGCTGCTGTGAGGCTCAAGTGAAATAACATATGAAAAGGCTTTCGAAAATGTCACAATGGTGGTGGCCATTGTTATTCAGGTGCTTGCTGAAGAACCAGTCCTGGTCAACCTGCCTCCATAGGATTTCATGAGCTTTAAGTAGAGTCCCCCAAATCCAAAAGGAATTGTAATGATGAGGAGATTAAAATATTACTATATCTTTGGCATAAACCCAAATGAATTTCCAAGGCAGAGGCCCCCAAGTCCACTGCAAATCGGAAATCGAAAGAGAAAACCATTTTATAGAGTAATGGCTGTTGGAGAAGAAGTTATGGTACCTCCTTTCCAGGACACTAGAAAATACTGGTGCCTCTGCGTGGTCACCCCCACTCCTTGGACCAATCATATATTAATGGGGCTTGCATGATGTTTTCTCTGTTTAAAACAATGAGTTCCTCTCTTCACTGGAAGATGACAGACAACCTAACTTCTACTTCAGTGGTTTCTCCATCTCTACCTGAGCCCCAGAAGTTAACCCCCAAAAAGTGGGAGAGGAGAGAAAAAGGATCAGAAAAACTGGTGTGTTTGCTCAGAGGATTCTCTGTGTTATTATTACTCTTCACAAAAATCTCTCCCATTGGGTAACACTTTCTAAGTATTTTCATATATTTCTCTCTTCTGACTTTCCCAGGAGCCGGTGAGAGGAGGGAAGCAGGTATTTTATTTTCCTCTTATGACTGAGGCTCAGGAAAGTTAAGTGATTTCCTGTGGCCACACAGCAAACTAGTGACAAACTGAGATTTTAAACCAGGGCCCTTGTCCTGACCCCACCTGCATGGGCTGCCTCTGTGGCAGGTCAAAAATTGAACCCATAAGAAAAAATGTCAACGGTAAACATCTCTCCCATATTACTAGGTACTGTTTATTCCCTTCTAAACTGACTGTGAGGCCCCCCACATGCTCTGTTCTGCATCCACACACTTACTGGACATTTCTGAAGACAAGTGTTACACGGTCATTGTTCTGGACTTCAATGTCCCACACACATCTGGCGTTGTTTGGATAGTTCCCAGGATAGAATGGGCTGGAAAAGCGCCCTGATGACTGGGACAGGAGGCCTCCACAGGCATAATTTGCTGTTGGGACAAAATGGAAATGCTGATGACCCCCAGAGCACATAGCACATCACCTGGGAGAGATTTTTAAACAATTCCCAAGATAAAAATCCACCAGGAGGTGGACTAGACCTGGGCTGTCCACTGAGGGTCTGTAGGATGCCCTTCCAGGGCGGCTATTCTTAGGGAAGCCACCTTCTCATCATTCTCATAATCCCTCCCCAGTGTCACTGTCACTGAGGGGAAGGAAAAGGGGATTTTTCATTTTTCAGGGAGATCAGAACTTAATGGTTGGGCTGCTGACAATGTGGGTAGGAGCTATTGGCATAGAGAAAAGATAATGATCACTTTCCTAGCACCCCTGACACAATTGTTGAGTGCTTGCTTTCTCTGTGCCAGTCATGTGCCAACCCTGGGTTCACAGTGAGATGCTGGTTATTGGCCTTGCCCTCAGGGAGCTCACAGCCTGCAGGAGAGGACGGAAAAGAGTGACTCCCAACACAGTGGGGTGATGGGAGCCAAAAGCTTTGGCTCCAGGCCCAGACTGAGTAAATGACCCCGCTTCTCCTGGGAGCCTCAGCGTAAGTGTCACTTCATCAAGAACTTCCCCAACCCCTGGATCAAGTCAAGTCTCTGCTGATGTGGCCTCTGTACACACTGATCTTTCCCTGTAAAGCACCTGTCACAACTCTAGTTATGTCATTAATTCTGTATTAAATATTTAATATTGCAGGGAGGAGGTCAGTTTCTCTTCTCAGCTTCCTTATTTTGTGATTTTACAACCATTCTTGATAGCAATGTGGCCATATACACAGTAAAGATCTTAAAATACTTAACATATCATAAGATTAGTATTTATTAAGTACATTCTAGGTACGAGGTATGATGTTAATTTTAGTCCAGTAAATCTATTTCTGTTCTGAGGGGGAAAAAAGGAGGAGGTATGCAAAGATTTATTTATAAAAACATTCTTCATCACAGGATCATTTATAATAATGAAGAAATATAAATAACTGAAATGTCCAGCAATAGGGAACTAATCAATTTGTGGGCACAGCTGTACAATGAAATACAATACAGGTATTTAAAATGATGGTAAGAGCAATTTTTTAAGAGCAACTGATGGAAAGCTATTGAACGGTATCTATATCATCAGGTAAAATTTGCATGTAAAAACATGATGATTTGTGAAATTACCCAATTATTATCTCCCTTCTTCTTCCCAAAGCTTTGAAGATACTGCAAGAAATAAAAGGCTTTAAGTCTATTCATGAAGTATCACTTATCCTATTTACTTAAAAGAAGGGGAAGGAGGTCTCCTTAGTTAAAACAAGTCACCTAGCTAACAGAAGCAATATGAAGGCTGCATGCGTGAAAGCTAATTGTTGGCTGTGTGTGTGCGGGCAGGGTGCAGGGTGTGCTGGGGCCAGCTTGAAGAGGTGGCGTGTGGGCTTGAAAAGCTGTACACTTGTAGGCATCCACACCATGGACAGCGAAGCCTAGGGATAAGAAACCCATGCCCTATGTGTCACATGAAAAGTCCTGATACTTACCCTCAGGGGTTGTAGATGATGTGTACCACCAATCTGGGAAGAAAATAAAGCGATTTTAGGATTTTACTGGATAATGTTTTAATTCCATGGTCATTAGCTTGATAGAGAAAGTTAAATCCTTTTCCTTCTTGCAGGATTTGCTCCAATTTACACTGTGAATGGCCCAGAAGAGGCAGATAAGTAGCACTTCCCAACATGTTGAGCACCAAATATTTTTATGATGACACAGAGAACATTTTGGGGGTTGCGTTTCTTGATGTGAAGGAATTCTTTACCAGGGAAACATTTGTAGGGCTTTTACTTGGCCATATTTCTAAAATGGCCACAATTCTCCAAGGGTCGGCTTGGAGAGTTCTTTACATCTGAAATGACCAGAGGACTAAAACCTCTTCCACCACAGGACTTGACTGAAGCCTGTTCATCATTCTTTCCCCTCCGGGGGCTGTTTTATGGAGCCCTTGGGTGTGGGCTGAACTATGTGTCTTCTCTGAATTGTCCCCCACATAGTCCAGCAATTCATTCCTGAGCCCAGCCTTGGGGTGAAGGGGCGAAGAGGGGGAGTCATCAGCCGGCATCCACAGTGACCCGAGCCTCAGAAATTAACCCCAAAAACGAGGGCGAGGAGAGAAAAGGGCTCAGAAGACTTGGTGTGCTTGTTCCTAGGATTTTTTGTGTTATTATTACTCTTAACAAAATCCCCCCCACCATTGGGAAAAATTTTCTAAGTATTTTCATATATTTCTCTCTTCTGACTTTCCCAGGAACCAGTGAGGGGAGGATCAACTGGAATCAACCTGGAGACCTACAGGGGGAATCCACCCGATACAGCTTCCCAGCCCCCCACCAAGGAGCAGCCCTGGGATCTGGGGTTTGGAAACTCCAACTTGAACTGACTTACCGGGGCCATAGGGGCCCCACCCCACTAGGCCTGAGGCTTATCATGAAAGCTTCTATTCCACTGAGCTCCTCCTCATGTCACTTTTAAACCCGAAGCTTGCCCTGCGTCTTAAACAAACCACGGACACACTGAATATCATGACGGTGGGCAGGAGTAACTGTCACTGACACTTAGCTGTACATACTGTGGGTGGCAGAAAAGAAGAGAAATGGCAGCATTAGTGAGGCCTCCCTGCAGGAAGGAGGCACCAGAGACATTTGCCAGAGACACCATGGACTAGGCTTCGTGGTCTCAATCTCACCCGAATGGTGTCCTTGCTAGTCTGCGAGCTGGACCCTCTGGCCCTCAGGCTTAGCATCTATATAATGAGGGCCCTGTTCTCCAGAGAATATATACACATGGCCAACATGCACATGAAAAGCTGCCCAACATCATTAGTCATTCAGGAAATGCAAATCAAAACCACAATGGAATACCATCTCACACCTACTAGGACGATCATAATGAAAAAGTCACATCATGACAAGTGTTGGTGAGGATGGAGAGAAATCAGATCCCTCTACACTGCTGGTGGCAACTTATAATGGTGTGGGCCCTATGGTCAACCATTCAGTGTTTCCACAATAAATTAAATGTAGAATTATCATGTGACCCAGCAATTCCACTCCCAGGTCTATACCCAAAAGAATTGGAAACAGGTGTTCAAAGAAAAACAATTGTACACAAATGTTTGTAGTAGTGCTATTCACAATAGCCAAAAGATAGAAACAACCCAAATGTCCATCAGTAGATGAATGGATAAATACAATGTGGTCTATCCATACAATAAAATATCCCTCAGCCATAAAACAGGAGTCCTAATACATGCTACAACGTGGATGAACCTTGAAGCTTATGCAAAGTGAAATGAGCCAGTCACAAAAAGCCACTATTGTTTGATTCCATTAAAATGAAATATCCAAAATAGGCAAATCTATGGAGACAGAGGGTAAATTCATGATTACCAGGGAAAGGGGACTAAGGTGTGACTGGTTAATGGATATGGGGTTTCCATTAATGGGTATGAAAAATTGTGGAACTAGACAGTGGTGATGGTTGTACAAGCCTGTGACTGTACGACAACCACTGGAGTGTACACTTAAAACAATACATTTTAAGGTTGGGAGAAGTCCAGAGCCTTGAAAGGACAGATGAGCAGAAAATGTTTGGCAGTTTTCCGCAGTCCTGGCACACTGAATCCAACATCCTGGCTTGACTCCAGGGCCATAGCCACGATAAGCTGTGACACAATGAGCTGTGGGCTGACACCCCAGGGGGAGACAAGGCTCTGAGCCTCTGATGGGGGGTGCGGGGCTGGAGAAGCACCAGCCAGCATCCAGCAGAGAGTATTTGAGGACAGCAAGCTCCAACTGGGAGTGCTTTCTGTGTGTCTCAAACCTCCCGCCTGTTTTTGTTGTAACAGAAACCCTCCTTTCTATGAAAAAGACAACAACCAAAACCAGTTCCCATGAGGTCCAAGTAGGGCCTAGTGTCACATCGTCTTGATTTCCCCCAGCAAATAAGAATGTGGACATAAGACCCTGACTAGGCCATTAGAACATGTGGCCATGGTTCAGGAGAAGCCACCTATTGACAAGCAAGCTGCTTAGTTTTCCTAGGGCTTGTCAGCAACAAATACTGTGACAAACAGTCTTCTCCTGGTGGAATGTAGACTTGGGGCTGGAACTACCCCCATGTGCGGAAAGCAAGCTGATGGTGAAGCCCACACACATAAGAAAGTGGAGGTAAGCAAAGTGCAGGGGGACAGACAGTCTTTGAACTTCTGGGTCCAGCTGTACCTGAAGCACGACCTACCACAGACTGTCCTAAATTTGGGAACGTTTGAGTTGGGTTGCTGTCACTTGCAAACAAAAACGTCCTGACAAATGTGTCCCAAAACTGGTAGGGGAAGGGGATGCATAATTCTGGTGGAGAGAGGGAACCATCCACCTTGGATGAGGTGATGAGCGTGGGGGTTTAACCCGAGATTCTAGAACTTCACCCAGGTGTGTTGGCTACTGTGCAATGCTGGTGCTTTGGCCAGATCCAAATGATGCTTACCATAGTAAGGAGTTGTTGTGTACCACCAATCTGGAGAGAAAACAGAGCAGGTTTAGAAAGTAGGTTCAAGGCTGGGTGTAGGGATCTATGACTGGGGTCAGGGACAGTGGGGTCTGAGAAGCCCTGCGGGCGGGGGGAGAAACAGGCCTTTTCTGAGAGTTTGCAATGAACCAAAATCATGCACTTGAATGTCCACAATGGCAATGAGGCTTACAATCTTCAAGAGGGATTACAGTGCTCTCCTGACAGAGTGTTCTTTGGCAAAAGCACCCCTGAAGCCCTGCCTGTAGTGCATGGCATGAGAAACTCTCTTTTGGGTGATATGTAGTATTTGGCCCAGACAAAGCTTTCAGGAGACATGATCTCAGGACAGAGCCTCCTCTGCTACCAGAAGTGGTGGGAAGGCACTGTGTGGTCAGAATGTTGTAATCCCACTGAGCCAGGCCGGAGGATCAATGTGTTAAAGGCTCAACTGGAAATGTCTAAATGCCTTAGAGTGATTAGGGGAGGTACTGGGAGGCACGAATTTCCCCTCCAGGAGCTATTGGTGGGGGGCTGTTGAGATGAGTATGGAGAGAGGAGACAGCCAGGAGTCAGAGGTGCTCGACTTACCTGGTGTGGTTGTGTGCTGGGGCCAGGCAGCTGTGTGAGAGAGAAGGTCCTATCAGACACATTGCACAGAAGGTGGCACAACGAGACGCAAAGGTGGAAGAAACTGAGCAGGTAAGACACTCAGTCAATGCTTGTCCTATGCCATGGAGAGTGGGATGTTTGCCATCCAACCCTTGGAAAGATATTCCTCATCAAAGTCCAGTAAGACTCCATCCGTTATTCCCACCATCATGGTGATGAGCTCTGTGTGTACACGTCATGACCAAGTTGACCCAAGACCAATTTTCTACCGTACAACTTTAAGCATTTCACTGAGGCAGAGAGAAGTCTAGCCTCAGGTCAAAATAGTATGGGTGACTTTCAATCCCGACCTTAGGAAATAACAAAGCTTTGCCTGGCAAGCCTCTTAGGGGTTCTTGGGTTCGCACAGCAGACCTGGAGCAAAGAAAGTGCATGAGTTCTCAGGAGAGAGTTACATGCAAGGACAGAGGACACCAAAGCTTAGGCCAGTGATGTGAATATCTCAGCAATTCTAAGCTATGACACTGCACTCAGAGACACAGTTATGGCATTTCTCATGCCTCTGACTGCATGACCAGTAGTGAGGAAAGTATACATTGCGAACTACAGATGAGTCTTTGCCCAATTAACCATCTAAACATGACACTAGGATTGAAAGTAGTACTGATATTAGGGGAGAACTAATAAAACATAAAAAAAACCCAGGAATGTAAAAAGACTTTAAGGAAAAAAAAACTTTAAGAAAGATAAACTTGCTAAACAAAAAAAAACCTTATATGAAAGAAAAAAACAAACATCTTTGAGGCCCACCTGAGCAGATGACACCGGCATCCTCCCCGTGGTTACAGTTGTGCGAGTTCCAGCCTCTGTGCGGGCAGCTCCACAGGTGGGACTCATGCCCCGAGCAGCTCACGTCATCCAGGACAATCGGCCCTGAGCCCTGCCC